TAATGAAATCCCAAACAGTGCATTCACCTCTTAGTCTCTTTCACTCACATGCACTCTCGTTTGGTTTTTGTTCTTCAATTTTCCGCCATGTAAAATTGTAAACCCAAGCAGTGCTATGTCTTTCAGCTTTTTATTTATAAAGAAAAAATGGAGGAAAAATTGCTGGAATGCAACACCGATTGCGTTTATTTCTTAGCCTTTCCCCTCACTTGCAAGAAGGTATTTATTTTCTCTTTTGAGCTATCAAGAAGTAAGCTTTTCCTCTTTCACACTTTCCCATTTTCAACTCACATTGTGTGTTTTTTGTTGAAATTTTTATGGTTCTGGAACTGCATATCAATGATCTAGATATTAAGTGTTAGTTTTGAACCAAAACCATCTAATTTTCTTTCTTTCTTCTTAATCAAAACTTTTAGTACTCCTTATGAAAGATATTCAGTCTATCAGAATAGAAGTGAAATATGGTCCTAGGTTTTTTTTTTATCTTTTTGTTTGGTTTTTCTTTAAATTATCGACATAATGAAATCGCCAGGCTCAATCCGAGAGACTATTGGTACTAGTTTACTGGAATTTTATTGATCCGACTTGTGGTTTTTGGCCTCCTGTGAGTTGGTATTCTTTTTAATAAGTTCATGTTGATTATGAGACTGATATATCGTAAACGAATTGGATTTTTTTACATGTTTTGGAAATTTTACAGTTGAATTGTATTGAATTATATCTTTAGAAGACAATTATGCATGCACGCAACTCGAAAGGCATCATGACAGGGTAGAATATTTGGAGCAGCTATTTAACCCTGTCATGATGCCTTTCGAGTTGCGAAAGAAACTGAGAGGTGAATGTGTTGTTTGGTATTTCATTATATTTGATCATCTGTTGGAAAATCTTTAACCACAAGGATTAAACGAAGAAATTATTATATGCCATTTATACAAAATAATTCCATCTTTGTTGGTGACTTTCAACAATGATACTTAGTTCATCTTAGTAGTATTTGTCAACTCTGCATTTCTAACCCCATTTTTTTCTCACAAGCATTTCGTCAAACATCTATGCTTCACCTGAGATGACCTGTATCTAACATTACATCTTGAATCGTTAATCGTCCCGATAGTCCCTTTGTCGGTTATTCTCTCAATGGACCCTTATTCAAGTCAACACATCCACATAATTCAAAGTTAGATTAGAATTTCCCATGCATTCCCGACTGAAAAGTTACGCTGGAAATGATAATAGAGAAGCGAAAAATGAAATTCAAGATTAAAAATGAATTTGGGGTTTAGAATGAAATTAAGGACTGTGTTGCAAGTTTTAAAAGTTGTGGGACCTAAATGCAAGCGCTTGAAATGTTAAGTGACCATATTGTAAACGTACTAACGACAGTATAACGGTGTCAAACGGCCGGTTAAGTGGGGGACCATATTGCAAACAAACTAAATGTTGGGGGACTGTATTACAAATGTACTAAATGTTGGGGACTGCACTGCAAGTTTTAAAAGTTTAGGGACCTAAATGAAAGTTTTAGAAAAGTTCAGTGACCATTATTATACTTTACCCTTAAAAATAATATATTTCTTGAATTTTATCATTTTTAATTTAGAGTATTGATGGATGGTTTTAAGATTATTGGGGTTATGATTCTAATGGTTGGGTAAGAGTATTTACAATTGGAGTCTTGTCCAGTTATAACCTATAGAGAATATCTACAACATAAATCTTGTTAATTGAATCATGGCCTTCAGAGAGACTCCACAACATGAGTCATTCACGACACAAAAGCTCTTCATCACTTAGCTCGTATTAATGTTTCAGATAAATAATCTTTATAACACATATTTTCAAGACTTGAGTTTAGTGCTAATTTATGCTAAAAGGGTATTTTACGATTAAAAAAAACAAAAGCATGCTACAATGGAAAATAAAAACATCTATAACAAAATAAGAATATGTTTTCAACAAAACAAAATAAAAATCTCATATCCATCAAATAGATATGCGAAATAAAACTTAGAAAAATAAGAAAGAGAAAATGAGAAAAAGAAAAGTAGAGATGAAGAGGTATAAAGAGATAAAAAGAATATACAACTAGATTTTATTAATAGTGAAAGGAATTAAAATTTCAAATGCATGAAAATATAGAAAGAAATTTAGAGACGATAGTCGCCAAAATACTCCTACAAAAGAAACAATTAAGACCTAATGAGAATGACGACTAACATCAAAACCCAATAACTTTCATAAAAATTTCTCGTCTCTGTAAAATGAGACGCTTGACGACGTCTTAAAAGAGTGAAGAGTGAACCAAATAATTTGGCAGGTTGTTTCGCTACACAATCTGATTACACCGACAAACAACCTTTTACCAAAAAATGATATGACTAATCAGAAAATAACTGTCGTGATGATTTTTGTGCGAGAACCAAAACGACCGCAAAGATATGCGAAAAACGTACCAAAAATCATGAGAATCGTGCCACAAGAGCTGAGAAAATCATATCACGAGGACAAAGAATCTTATTCAAAATTAAAAAGACTCAACCAAAAAATGATAAAAGACATAATATATTAAAAAAAACTAATAGTCACTGGCGGTTGACAACTAACATCAAGATTAGTACCGCCGTAGGCTAAAAAATCAAAGAAAAAGAAGAAAGCCTACAAAAATATTGAAAGAAAACTAAGTTGAAAGAAAAGAGATGCGTCGGTTAGGGTTTTAAAAAATAGAAAATTTTGTTTATAATCAATATATCATGTATATATTTTCATGTTAATATAGCATTTATATTTGTTTAGGTGGAGATGGATAATGTTATTGGATCAACAGAAAAACTATATTATTAAATAATATAAATTAAGAGAGGTTTTTGGGTACTTAATTATGTGTAATGTCATCAACCACTAAACCAAATAATGGAAAGCCTAATCCGATAAATTTAATATAAACAGTGAGTTTTCTGAATCCAGCAAAGATCTTGACATCTCAACCACTCTAATGTCATATATATATATATATATATATATATATATATATATCACACCTTCTTCCATCTTATTTTCCACTTTCTCCTTCGCTGCATCTTTCCTCAGGTTTTATTACTATTGCTATTGCAATCATGGATGGTGTTCATCGGCAAACACGATAACAGGAAGAAAAAACAATACGAAAATCCGACAAGGAGAGGGACAGAGTAGGTGGCAATTTTATGTTTTGATGTGTCTGTCTGGTTCGAGAAATAGCTTTTGTTGAACCGGTAAGCATATGATATCTGTAAACTGGGGATGTTGGAATGGCTCAATCAAGTCAAATCTCCTGAAGCTTTTTTGGGTCATTTAATTTGATTGAGCCGTGCCAATATCACCTTTACTCTTACATACATACATAAATACATATCTCTATATATATGTATATGACAGTTTCAGTTTCAGCTTGATTTCCTGGATGGTTCTTTAACCTTTCTGCTTCTCGCTGTTTCAAGTGCAACTGTGTAAAGTATGAGTTATAAATATGCAGGCATACATACATATACATATTTGTGTGTGTGTGCGTGTATGTGTATACCTATTTATATATGTGTGTGGACAGTTTCATTTTGGGATGTAGGGTGAGGCTGATATTCTACAAGATGAAACCCTATTCTTTCTTGTTAGTTCAAAGTAGAGTTTGAGTTCTCAACAAAATAACCTAATTTTCTTGAAATATATCTTCTCAGAATCTTTCAACAGCTCCCTTGCATGTATATATATAAAAAAAACTAACTGACCCTATTTCCATATGTAATGGGACGAGGGAAGGTAGGATAGTAGGCTGTACCCAACGCCAGGTTAGAGCAGCATCCGTGGAAGACCTCCGGCAGTCATAATTATGAATTGCCCACCGTGAGACTCGATCCCACGACAATAAGGTTAAGAGCATTGCGCTCTACCAACTGAGTTGTATGGGCAATTCTTGCATGTATATATAACATTCCCGGAAAATTCACAAGGAAAAAAATTATGTTCAGCACAAAATCTTCTCAACTTAATTGATATCAGTGGTATTTGACTTGAACTTCAAATTTAGATAAACTAGTGCATATATATAGGCAAAATTATTCGAATGAATCATCGAAGGAGAATATTATTCATTTTACTATTAACATCGTTCATTTGTATTTTTATATTAATTATTGATATAAAGAGAACAAGGATATTATTTATATTCTTCATTTTTTTTAATATGTTCATATCCAATATTTATATCTAATATATACATATATTCGTGTTTTGAATACGATAATATAATTCTTTGATATATATGAAAATTTTTAGAGGAAATTGAAATATAGTATCCAACATCCGCTCTCCAATTTTGAGTAATATACAAGGACGGACGTAAGATTTTACGTTATGGGGATTAACTTGAACTTATAAAATTATAGAGAACTTAAAATTATAAAATTTCAGGGGGCGAAAATATATTTTCCATAGAAAATGCATAGAAAAAACCTCAAATATAAGATAATTTTAAAATTCCAGGGGCTGGCTGCCCCTACACTCTCACCCTCGGTCCATCCCTGACTATAGAATCATACATGAGTTTATTAGTGACCTGAACTGGTGGCTAGCCATAACAAGCAGGTAATGCAAATTTATCTAAGTTACTTTTTTTTTTAGAAAAAATCACCGTTTAACTTTAAAGATAAATTTTTATTTTTTAATCTATATATATATATATATATATATTTAAATTTGATCTCAAAATTGTAAAAAGAAATTGACGGTTTTAATAGATAATGTTAAAATGGAGGGGGAGGGTAAAGAAGGTTGAAGGGAAGAGGGGGGAATAGACTAATCTTTCATATTATTGGACTGCCATAGATTGAGGTCCAATTTAACAAATTAACTAATTTTTGAACCGAGTTAATGGCCCAAACCCACAAATCAGCAGTCAATATTCTCCACTGGCGCCAACTCAGAGAGAGAATGAAAGCTTGACCCTTTTCTTAAAATTTGCCCCCCATTTTTTTGGTTGTTTTCGGTAATATTACACTGAAAAAGCTTCAAAGAAAAACCAAGTTTGAAGCTTGATTCAGGGTTTTAGGGTTTTTTTTAATTACTCTCTCTCTGTTCTGAGTTTTGTGTGATTTTTGTTTCTTTGGCATTCAAATTTTAAAACTTGATATGAACGGGGAGGAGTTGACAGAGCAGGAGATTGCTCTTTGTTATAGTCAAATTAGGGTTTGGGGTGCTGATGCTCAAAGAAGGTAATGCTATTTTCTTTTAATGTGATTTTCAAATTATTTTGAGTTTATATTCTTTTATTTATTTTTTGTTCCATGTTTGTTTTAGATTGAGCAAATCTCGTATACTAGTTTATGGAATGAAAGGGACTGTTGCTGAGGTATAGTAGTTTTCACCTTTTAAAAAATAGTTCTACTTGCTCTGTTACTAGGGTGTGTAATGGAGATGAGTCGAGCTCTATATGTAAGAAACTCCATCTAGTAAAAATTCAATTGCTCAGTTAAGCTCATTTATCTTGTAAACAAAGCTCGATTTTCAAGTTTGACTTCAAGCCTGATTATTTTTACTTGGCTTCATGTCAAATTTGGGATTTTCCATACTATTTAAAAAACGATTAGGCTCTCGGGTTGCTTGAGTCCAGCAGTAGGATACTCGGATTCGGCTTTCTGAAGGTGCTCAAGCTTGATAAAGAACAAGCTGAATTCAAGTTCCTTTTTGAGTTAGTATTGAGTTGCATATGAACTCAAACTGATGAGTCTCGTTCACATCCTTTTTATCACTATAGGTCTTTTGTTATTGCTTTGTTTTTTGTTCTTTTTAATGATTATTATATGCTTAAATTTGTGGGTATGCTTAGTTTTGCAAGAACATTGTACTGGCAGGCGTTGGTAGTGTGACATTGGTGGATGACCGTGAGTTACTCAGGAAGCTTTGTCTGCGAATTTCTTGATATTGCCTGATGAAAATCTGTACACTGGGAATACTCTTGCTGAGGTCTGTTGTGTTTCTTTGAAAGAATTCAACCCCATGGTTCATGTTTCTGTATAAAAAGGTTAGTATTTTGAGTATCGTATGGTCAAAAATTCACAATGCTCAGAACTTTTGTGAATTTTGAGTATAGCTGTGGAGTGAAACCTTTCTTAAAGACCTTATAGAGGAATTTATTGTTGGAACTTGGAAGGTTTATGTTTAAGGGCATCTAATCTATTTGCTCTGATATTTGTTTGTGTTGCTTCGACTCTCTTATCTCGGACATATTTGAGGATATAATCTTTTTAAAAAAATTGCTCAATAAGTAATATTATTTGGTATTTGATATATCCATAATTAACATTTAATGTCAAATAATCCATAAATATTTATTTAACTAAACTAATATATTTAAATATAGATGTGTTTAATTCGTTTATGTTGATTAATAACTTCTATAATCAACATCAAGAAACAAAATTGGGTCTTTGCAAGTGACTTTGAAACCCAGCCCACTACGTAAGTTCTGGGCTATGATCTCTATCAGTCATCCCATTGAATAATCATCAAATTAATTTTGGTCTTTGAGTCCTGAAGTAATTCATGAATTTAAATGTATTTTTTTATAGAACCCATTATATTTATTAAAAAGAGAAAATATTTAGAATTATAATAATTTTTTATAATCACGTTTACTTATTAAATATATAATTAGGATATTTTTTATAACTATAAACACAATAAACTTGTCACTTGAGATTATATAAGGAAAAAGAAATTCAATCAAAATATTCAAAAAAAAGATAGATGCGACCATATTTGACTGCATCAGCAAACACACTAAAAAATAGGGTCGAATTAATTAAAGACCACTAATAAATTGCAAACCGGAGACGAACGATGTGAGAAAACTATCCACAAACACAAACCCAAAATTCAATCCGATGGTTTAAAGCAGGGAAGATTAGCAATATAAAAAATAAGTGTCATCTTGATCAATCGATGCAACGTCAAATCCAACTATGAGAAAAAGATGAACGAAAAAACAATCGAATGACCAATAAAGAAGACTAAAAACATGTCAAGAGATAGAGTTATTAAAAAATTTAAAAAGCAAAGGAGAAGCAAAAATGTGATATAAAAAAATATTATCTATTCATAATCTTTCTTAAGACAACACACACTTTGCAAACATAGTTGTTCAAACGCAGAACCTTTAAGGAAGAACAAAACTTTTTATTAAGATCACTCGTTGAGTTCAATAACATATGTGAATTTAAATGTATTTAAATATAGGCTTCAATCAGAGAAAGTACTTAAATCATACCTTTTTTTCAGTTTAAGTACCTCAATTATTTTTTAGTCAAAATAAGTCCTTAAACTATCTCTTTTTTCTTTAAGCCCCTAAAATATTTTTTTAGTTAAAATAAATTCCTAATTTTGTGTGACATGGCAATGTATTGTTGGTCGAAAAATAAATTCCTAACTGAAAGATATTAAGACGTAAAATAATTAAATATAATAATTTAAACACTTAATTTAATAAAAAAAATAATTTAGATACCTAAAAAAATAAGTTAAGTACTTATTTTTTTACTTTAAGCCTTAAATATAATATAAATGAATGATTTAATCATTATATTATTATAATAATAGTTAATAATAACACATATCACATGTGAGTAGTATTGTTGGATTAATTAGTATCAATGTATTTACATGTGAGTAGCCATATACCAAAACCCATGTTCCAACAAAGATCAATGGGTCTGCTATTGCTGCACCAGTAAAGATTCTTATTCCCTACCAAAGTGGGACCAAAAACAAGATCACATGCCATGGCCAATCAAATAATTCTACCATGATATGTTTGGCTGTTCACAGACAAGATTGACCCTTTAGCCACTTTTCATCCCATGATTAGTACGGCCATTATCGTTGGAAAAACAAAACCCATTTTTGTGATTTCCTGTATGAACTTTGGTTAATTTGGTCCTGTGGTTGTGTGTGAAGACACTTAATTTTGTCTTTTATTTATTAATATTATTATATTAGTAATTTTATTCTTTACATTTGTGCAGGCCTGTTACATCAAATAAAATTAGTCCACGTATGGCCCAGCCAAGATCCAAGACGCGTTCCATCCGCATCAGCTAGGGTTTTCAGAACCCTAGCGTCGCATGTCATGTTCTCGATCGAGGTTCCCTCCCTTGGCACGCCGTTTCTCACGCAACGACCCCCACTCTTCTCGGCCTCCAACCGACGTGAATATGTGAGACACCAACTGCTCAACAAAGCCCGATTCTCTCGGCCATGAGCAACAACCGTGGATATCAAACAAATAGGGGTAGTAGAGTTTGATTAGAACTGAAATTGGACTAAAAACAAGCATGCATTTTTTTGTATAAATAGGCTTGTAATCAAACTCATAGGGGGGATTTTTCGAGAGAAATTACATGCAAAAACACAAGAAACACGAAGGGGAACTCACATTCGACTCTGAAAAAAAGGGATTACTAGAGAAATCCAGTCATTGTAACTCAATCATCAAAGTCAATAAAAGAGTTTCTTTTAGTTAAAAAAGCTTCCCTTTTGTTTCATGCTTTTTTTACATACATCGTGATTGCTCGAATAAAATCCGATGGAAGCATTAACCACCAACGAGACATGCAAAACAAAATAAGAAGGTAGAGGAGAGACTAGAAAACGACATACCCGGAAATTTTGACAATCCAGCGGCGGAAGGTGGTAAATCGGAGTGGAGAAAGTTAAACAGTTGACGACCTTTTTTGTCAAGTTAGAGACTGTTCCTCGCAAAACGGAGGTCGGATCCGTGTTCCTCGCATCGAGACGAGACCTCCCGTGAAATTTGGGGTCGAACGGTGTCCAGCGACGAGCACCACGGTGGTTCCATTGCCGACCTCTGAACATTGAAGCCAAGACGAGATGACCTCTCTGTTTTTATGTCGTGTAGACTGTAAAGAGGAAGAATGAACCAAATTTAAATTTGGTTTCACAATTATTGGAGAAAGGTTCACGGCATTCACGTGGGAGCCATTGCTTTTGGAATTTTCAAGGGTAAATTATCATCTTGGCCCTTCAAGAGTTACTCCATTGTGACCTTTTATTTATTTATTTATTTTGCATGAAAAAATATTTTAATAATTATGATTTGGCCCACTAATTTTTTATTTTTACTTTTGCAGTTCATTTTTAATATCAATTTAACCCATTAATTTTAATTTGTTTCAATTTGATGTTCTAAGTTTTTTACTTTATTTTATTATTTTCTTTAATTATTTTTTTTCTTCTTTCTTCATATTTTTCTTTATTCTATTGCTTTTAAAATTTAACTTTTTTAAACATTTTTAAATTATTATTATTTTTTTCCTTTTCATTTATTATTTATTTTATTTATTTAACATTTATTTATTTATTTATTTATTGTCTAACATTTTTTCCAATCAATCAAAGGTAAGTAATATGAATCGGTTTTTAAATTTTAATTTTAATTTCTAATTCTTCGCAATTAAAGACAACCGACAAATTAATTGGTACCGAAAGGGCGGTTCAAGGGTGCTAATCCTTCCTTGACCGTAACCGACTCCCGAACCCGATACGTTTCTGGTACAACGCAGATCAGGTAAGATGGTGTCCGGCCCACCTAAATTCGTTTTAAAGTGGTCGGTGGCGACTCCAATCCACATTTTCAAGTCGAAGCCCAATTCCGGGACCCAACCGAAAGACGGTTACGACAGCTTGGCGACTCCGCTGGGGACAGGTAAGTGAGTCAGGCCGAAATTAATTTCTGGTTGTCTTTTTTAGCGAAAATTACAAGTTTAAATTTTAATTTATTTATTCGATTTCAATTATTTATCTTTGATTTTATTTTTCAAGTAAATAGTTGTACTGACCGTTTTCTAATGATTTCAGCTTCCCAAACTTGTTGTTCATCTAAAGGCTCTATACCCGAGCTCCAAACCCTATTTAAGTGGGGGTGAAAGCGACGCCTTCGTGTGAATTTATTCACCGTGCGGACCTAGCAAGTAGCCTTCGGGATACATATACCTTATGCCTTCGTGTGAATTTATTCTCCGTGTTGGGCATAAGGGAATGTTTCCTCTCGAGTTCAACTTAGTCCATACAAGCCTGTGATGTGTTTAGGACTAAGGGTCTGGCAAGCCCAAGGGGGCACCAGCAAGGAGAACTCGGGTACCGTTTTTTAGAACCAAAACTGGGAGACTTTGAAGAATTAGAGTCTACCCCAAAACTCATTCCAAACCCTAGACTGCTTGAATTATTTCATGTTTTACCTTTTGTTCAAAGCATGCGAACTAGACAAATATGCGGTTAGGATTTGTTTAGCATGTGGGATAGAGATCATGTCCGGGTAGGAATAATAAGCATGTG